AACTCTTGGAAATGTTGCGAGTCACCGACCCGTACCACGACTTGGTAAAAGAAGAGCTCAACATCATACAGGGAGCACTAGAGCTGCGCACCAAAACTGTGGAGGACGTCCTGACTCCGCTGACCGACTGCTTCATGCTGGCCTCGGACGCGGTGCTGGACTTCAACACCATGTCCGAGATCATGCAGAGCGGATACACGAGGATTCCGGTATTTGAGAACGAGAGATCCAATATCGTGGACATTCTGTTTGTGAAGGACCTGGCGTTTGTGGACCCGGACGACTGCACCCCCCTGAAGACCATCACCCAGTTCTACAAACACCCGTTGCACTGCGTCTTTAACGACACTAAACTGGACGCCATGCTGGAGGAGTTCAAGAAAGGTGAGAAGGGCGTTAGAAGGGAGTGGGTGTGGCATGCTTCAAGTTTATAACTTAAGCTGTAACAGACAGCTGTAAGTAACCTGGGTGAGAAAAGCAGGTGAGAGGTGGCAAAAACAAACAAACAAACAAACAAACAACAAAAAACCCAACAAACATTCCTGTTGTGTACTTGAACTGGATTTATTTTTGCACTCATGAGTCGTGTTTTTAACAAGAAAGTTTTTTCTGCAGTTCATCATACTTGTGATACTTTGCAGATGTTTTCCGGCGCTTTGAAGTGCTACAGTTGAGAAAGGGAGCAGGAAGGACTCAATGTCTCACTGCGGGGCATATAGCGGCACTTGTGGCATGCACACAGGGAAATCAAACCCTCTAATAAACTAGTATTTAATGTATGAACTTAAGACGGCAACTTGTGTACTGACACATCATTTGTTTTCTGCCCCCTTTAAATACGAGAATGATATGGGCCCTGAAAGTTGCAGCTGAGACAGCTTAGCAGCAGTGATTAAACCTCTTTCATCTCCAGATGGTCTTCTCAGCATTAAACAGTTGCGATACTCCAGGGAATGCAAATATGCACTGTTGCAATCTGAAGCTGAAAAGGAGCTGTTCTTTCCCCCTCTCTTTTGTTTTTGCAGTGTGCACAGCTTCCCCTGCAGATTCGAAGCAGTCTTCCACCCTGCATGCAGGCAGCAGGCTGTTCCATCTTACTCTAGACTTTTAAATGGGTGGGGTTCGAATTGGCCAATCACAGACCTTGCTGCTTATCACTGCCTTCCTGCATTCTCAGGGACCCTGCATAGTCAGCACTTTTTTCTGCTGTGTTTGTGGTGAGGAGAGGAAGATAAATAGAGGACACCTTTGCCCAGGCAGACTCTGTTTGCGGGAGACGTTTGTATTTCTGTCTGTTTTGGCACAAAACAGCGAAAAGCTTTCACTGCCAAATGTCACAGAGGGGTTTCTATTTATTCTGAACATCTTTTTTTAGCGTGTTGTAGTGAAATGCTTTTGGAAACATTTTATAAACTTGGTAATGGTAGAATTTTCCAGAAATGTAAGCTGTTTGACTCTTTAGCTTTAAGCACAAAAGGTTTGTCTTGTCTTACACATCCTGTAACAGACAAGCAAGACCTGTGTGTGGATTTAAAATGAGCTGCATATATTTGGATTAGTAGCTTGTGCTGTATGAAGCCAGATGCCACCAGAGCTGCAGGATGAACACAAATATAGTTCTTGTGTCGCTCTGCAACAAAGGGATCTGGATGAGATAATCTACACAGTCAAAGGATTATAAACAAGGTCTGTCCTCGGTGTGTGTGTGTGTGTGTGTGTGTGTGTGTGTGTGTGTGTGTGTGTGTGT